ATTCATGCCGCAGGCGTCTGATGCTCAGATAGCCGTTGATCTTTATATAGAACTTGAATACAGTCTCAGCATGTGTGTCTTTGAATAACATGCCGTGACATCGAAGATGGCGATTAATCTGGCGGTTTTGGTCTGATCAGAATGAGGTCTTGGTTGGATGACAACTATCATTCAATCTCATGTGAAGCAGCACTTTCCTCTGCTTTGGGTTTGTACGTGTGTTTATAGGCTGAGCGAATGCAGGTTAGTTTGGAACAATGCAGTGTTTTCATGAAAAGAAGCACGTCTGTGAAACTGCACATAGCAATCGTAGCCATGCATGCAGGCTCCGCCACCGCCTTCATGTCACTATACTATGTTTAAATGGGGCGGTGCAGCAGGGTTCATGGGTGACTGCATGTTTTTCCACAAATAGCTCATGTTATATAAAGAAATAATATCTGAAATAGGACTGGGTTTTGCATCCTATACATTGATTTCAGTTGGGAAACATGCATAAAAGTGACCACAACTTATATTGTACTATATTGTGCATCTTCTGTCATATGATACAAATACATAAAAAATATATAAAAAGAAAAAAAAGAAAAGGACAAGATCATTTTCTTCAAAATAGCTACAAAAAGTGAAAAATATAAACAATATGAAAAAATGTTATTTAATGAAGTTCTTCCCTCTGACCCACATATTCAATACAAATATGTTATTTTTTTATTAGATTATACACAGTCCTGCATCTTGGAAAAATGTCTGCTGATTTGCAAAAAAAAGGCCTAATATGTTAAAAAATATCAATAAAAACATTCACACAGTTTCTTTACAAAATAAGAATGAAGAATTTTCTAATTATATACGAATCAGGTTTAATGCATTTATCAAAATAACAGAAGCAGTCAAATGTGGTTAATGGCAAAAAGAAAAATTCAAAATGTATCATTTAAGTTATAATCCACAAAGGAATGGGAAAAAATATGTTCAAATAATAACACGTTTATAAATAAATTGCATCTGGCTCATATTTGCATTTTCTTCTGTCACTGGCGATAATTAACCTTGAAATCAGGATTAATAGGCATAAAATAATGTCAAACATTTGAAAATGGGCTGAGAATTGAACAAATAGTAACCGGTCTCAGAGGAAGATAGGAATCATGTCTTTGTGGCAGTTTTTCTGGTGATAATACAAAACTTCTTCACCTTACAAATGGTTGTCGAAAGCAAAAATGCTGCGAATCATATTTTGTGAGAAAGTGTGACGTGCTAGAGCAAAACAGCGATTTTTGTAACCAGCACCCCAAAATTAGTTAGAAACAATTATTGGATTTCATTCCACAAACATGATGCAGGGCAGTGTTATGAGTAAATAGTTTATGGGTGAACTACTCCTCAAAATGATACTCTTGCTTGTCTGCAAAAAATAAAATAAAATAGAAATTAATTAATAAATAAAAATTCACAGAGCATTCCTGGTTAGGAAAAGAAATCTTTCTGAGAACTGGCTGATTCAAATCACTCATGTTTAGAAATGGATTTTAATCATGCTTTTAAAAATGCTGTTGTTGAAGGTCTCTTGATCATGAAGCATAGAGACAAGATTGTAGCAATGATACTGAGCTAAATCATAAATATAAGCAAAAGAAAAATAAATATAGCCTAAGTAAAATCGATGGTAAAAGTAAAATTGGCATTGGCAAAATTTCTAATTATCTTTGCATAAAAAAATTTGCATAACTGTTGCTGTACATAGGTCTTCTCACCTGAAGCAAGTCTGATCAAGCAGAGGATTTTTCAGTACAGATCATTGGAAAGATCATTTACTGTACATAAAAGAGCTTGTGTATGTGCAACGATTCGTTTCATATTCAACCGGTCTGGGAGGTCAGCTGTCATCAGGGAGAGGCGTTTTTCCCTGCTAAGGTTTTGGTCATCAGGATTTCAAAGGTAGGTGCCACAAAAATAGTCCATTTGAGATAGACAAGTACGGTAAGTGCAAAGTTCATTCAGGTCCTTTAAAGGCAAAGCTGCAAATCTTTTCATCCAAGCTCTCTAACTCTTGGCAATCCTGTTGTCATCCATGCTCCTAATATAAGATTGGGGGTGTGGGATGCACAGCAGTGTTGCAGAGGGAGAACATACCTGGTATCCATGTTGCATTGAATATCATCAATAAGTTCCAAAAGGTGACCTCATCCCCACAGTCCTCCTTGGCTTCAGCTTAAAACATTATAAATGTTACAACGTTACAAGGTGGCATTGTCTGTGGTTTCATTTTCACAAAGGCGAATGAGATTTAGAGCTGTTTAGTTTCTCTGCATGCCATGATTTAATATGCATTTCTTCCACTATTCACTGTAAAAACACAGCATAGTCATATTAACCCACTGTATTTCAAATAAAAGCCTACCTCAAAGTAATCACTTTACTGCTGTAGTATCTAATAAAGTTACTTAAGATTTTTTATTTCATTTTTTTGGATATGGTTCAAATTCTTTTGGATGTCAGGTATCATATGCATTCAAAAAGCAAAAGCCTGTTTCTATTTTTGCAGAGGACTATAGGCAACTATTCTAGTGGTAACTAGATTTTATGTTTATGTTAATTCTTTTATCAATAACCTATAGAGATAAAATGTATGTGAGTTTAAATTTGCAGTCATCTAAACTTTAGACAGCAGAAGAAAAGTACTGTACGTCCAAAAAGTAACTTTCATACCTCAAAATTAGTATTTTGTTAAAAACCTCTGCTGAGGTGAAATGATTGTGCTTCTTTTTCACAGGCAGAGACAGAATCCTACTGAGCATGTTTCTGATTGGAGGAATTGAGTGTATTACAATTGCCCCCGGTCTCCCCTAATATAATTTTGTGTACCCAGCCTAATTTTAGAAGGCCATCTTAAAGAAGGATATTATACAGACACATACACGCACACTGTGGCCACCTTATTATGCATGTTAATTCAGTATCTAGTTGGCAATGTGGCAGCAACTCGATGCATAAAAGTGTGCAAACATGGTCAAGATGTTCGGGTGTTGTTCAGATCAAACAGCGGAATGTGAAAGAAACGGTGTTAAACCATGGAATGTTTGTTGGTGCCAAACGGGCTTGCTTTGAGTATCTCAGAACATGCTGATCTCCTGAGATTTTCATGCATCACAGTGTCTAGTGTTTACAGAACATAGTGCAAAGAAAGGTTGATGGCAGTTTTGTGGGCATGAAGGTCAGTGGAGAATGACCAGCATCTCACAGCAACTGAAAGTGCACAACATTACAACAAAGCATAGATGGAAATGGATGGGCTACAGCAGCAAAGAACTAAGAGGCTATAGTGGAAATATGCATAAGAAAACTAGAAAGTTCAAAATCGTGAAAATATTGCATGGTCTGACCAAGGGGTCAAAGTTTCAACAGTTAGCATTACCCATGAGACGCCTGCGGGTAGATGCGGTAACTACACTATCTGGACGCAAAAGCATCTTTCCCCATTTAAGTATATCAGTAAACCTTATTTATATAGGACCATTTTTCAAAACTCATGTTTGCTTTAGAACAAGCATGCCCTTTCATGCATGGTGTCCATTACAGTGGACAGATATTTGGAAGCTATTTTGAACCATTTAGGTTGTAGTAGTACCATGTCCAAACCACCAAGTGGTGAACTGTCCAAGTGGTGCTGTCTATGATTCCATTTAATTATTGCCTTTGTATCTATTTTTTGTTTTGAGATATTGCATCATGTTTAAAAAGGCGTTGGGAAGAGGAGATGCACCAAGTACCTCAAGAATAAGTATTAAATCCTTTTATTCTTCAAAAAACCAGACAGGTTAATATATCTGTCCACTCCAGTGGACATTATGCACCAAAGGGTATATTATGCCTATTGGGCCTAGAATCCGCCTTATTTTGTATGTTTTATCTAAATTATAATATAATTTAAACTGGAATAGTTTTATTAAACAGCAATACTTTATTTAAGTGGAGTGTCATTAAGTGAATGTCTATGCAAAGATGCTCAAAGCCAATCAGAGCAGCTGAAACAGATATCATAGTTCAAGGTTGATCAGATATTTGTGTTTATATAGACTAGAGAGAAACACACCAAAGCACTGAGCTCCACATCAGTGAAGGCCACATATCTTCTCCAGTACGGTAAGTTTTCCAAACTTTAACCAACCACTAACATTTCTTTGACAGTTATACAGGGTTTTTGGTCTTATTGTTTTGGTATATGCATACATGATTGTGCTCGAGATTTTTTTTATGCAACTGTACTGTAAATTACAGATTATTTAAATGCATGACATGTAGCTAGTTTTTGAGGTTAACTTAGTTGTACATTTTCTGCAAGTCTGTTCTGGATTATGTTTTTGTCGTTGTAAAGTGGTGTATATTAACAGTGCACATGCAGAGAGCAAGTGTGACTCTGTTAATGAGTGATTTTAATGAACTTTGTATCTTTGCCTCATCAGTTTTTCTCAGGTCATTAACAATGTCTAGCTTTAATCTGCAATTTTACATATACACCACGATAAAGTGTGTTTCTTATTGGTGGTGCCTCTTTATAGAGACAATATTCAAAGTACAAAGTATACAGTAGATGCTACCTAAAGAACATGGTACCATGTTTCAGGATTGTAAAAATCGAAGATTGCATCAAAAATTGTTTTTTGAGAGTGTAATTTTAATATATATATA